GTACATTATCACTATTTGACATCTGGCACGACTGTCACTATAGGTTGTAACTACTTAGTGCGTTAAACGCGCTGTACCGTGTCTCTTGATAACCTCCTGGCCGATAAATCTATATTAACCTAATTTACCTAAATAGAAATTTTTCTCCTGACCGATAAGTTTATCGACCTAATTTACCTACTAGATCGATAATAATGCGCGCGCGATTTATCGGAAATCAAGAGCCATCTATCGTTGAAAGTAGTAAAAGTTACGTTTCTTTGATTGAGAGACGACGACGACGACGACGACGTATCTTAATATGAAATTTTTACATTTGGACTTTGCATCGCAATATCTTCACTCGTAGGACACGTAGCGGAAAGACAAAAACACTCTTCTTTATAAATCGACCCCAAGATATCGATCAAGCCTACTTAGAACTTGATCCGTTCACTCGTTATTAACCCTCCGAGAACACACCTATTTTTTCATTCACGGAGAACACTCTGGTTCAATCTGACCCTACACACACTTTGATCGTCCACCATTTTAAAGTGACGAGTGCGATCAGCTTGAAAAAATGTCTACATGTACTTGGAACATTGTTAAATTAATTGATATAAATAAAAAGTGCCGTTGGAATTATTTACATATTTAAAAAAATAAAAAAAATCATTTTTTTGAAAAATTTTTTTTAATTTTTGAGTGTTTTTTTTTTTTACGTAATTTACGAACAAAATTTTTTTTTATTAAAAAATAAAAAAACGGTCAAATTGACCCAGTGTGTTCTCGGAGGGTTAAGATCTCAACATCTCGAGTACTCGCAACTCGTCGCGTCGCGTAAAAGAGTCACGGTGCGGTCTCGCTTCGCGTGTACTTGGCGCGAGACACTATCTCTTGATCTAATTCATTTTGTTATTTATTTCTATCTTTCTCCGCTTTCTGCTGAGCATTAAGGATGTTCTGACGTTAACTTTCTAACATTGACAATATCCTGAAAATTTAATATATTGTTTCTATTTATTATTTAAACATGTGTGCAAAACCTGAAACCGATTCTCTGACCGGTTCACAAGTTATTCGATTTTTTAATTTTGCATGTGTTCTTATGGAATATAGCATCATATTTCCACTAATATAAACGAAATTATATAGAAACACTATTGTCAATATTCTGAAACTTTTTTTATGTATAAATATTGTAAAATACTGAGCAACGCGTTTCTAAAAAAAGTTGATATCGATTGATTATCTCGTTCTTGAGCTATTAATAAAAAAGCAATGCAAAATTCAGAAAATAGGCTATGATACACACTTTGACTACCGAAACGTGGCAACAGTGTAACCTAACCTGTATCTAATCTAACTCGCGTTGGAGTCGGGGGCAGGAGGGCTAACAAAAATATAAAAATAAACTAATGGAGTACGGTGTTGCCTCTTTACCACATTATATTAGACATTTTATTTTGATTTGTATAAAGGGCTACAAAGGTAAATATTATGCCAATGACATTTTTTTTACATATCTTATTTTTTTTTTAATATTATTTGTCCTGTATATATTAAATATTACTAATATACACAACGTTTTTTCATTTCTTACAGTTGATTTCAGGTGAAATTCACGTCTAAAAGTTCTTGCTGACAATCACAAAATTTGCAAAATATGCAATATATTCATTTGTACCCTTACGAAAAAAACACCCAAGATTTTGGTGCTTACACCCAACTTTGGGTGTTTACACTCCATTTTCGGTGTCAACGCCTAAATTTTCAGTGTCAACACCGACATTTGAATGTCGACACCCAAAGTTTCGGTGTCGACATTCAACTTTTGGTGTCGACACCCAAATCTTGGTGTCGTCACCCAAAGTTTCGGTGTTGACACTCAACTTTTGGTGTCGACACCCAAATTTTAGTGTCGACACCCAAATTTTGGTGCGAAAATGAAAAAATTCAAAAAAAATTTAAACAAAATTTTTTTTTTTTGAATTTTTTTAAATATGTAAATAATTTCAACGGCACTTTTTATTTATATCAATTGATTTAACAATGTTCCGAGTACATCTGGGAATTTTTTTAAGCTGATCGCACTCGTCAATTTAAAATGGTCGACGATCAAAGTGTGTGCAGGGTCAGATTGACCCAATGTGTTCTTTCGAAAAAAATGTTTTTTATAAAAAAAAATTTATTTTTTTTATGTTTAATATGTATGATTAGTTTATTGCTTTTCCCCGTAGGGATTACAAGACGTTTTTGTGAAGAACTTACCCAAACCTCTTACAATACATCCCCATATTACCTGGCCATTCGCGACCTTACAATCTTTATTTTCCCGCTCCCTCCCCGTACCCCTCTTTGCCCCTTTTCTTCTTCCTCTGCTTCCTCCGCGTTGTGTTCTTCTGTTCCCCTCCTTCCTGTCACGGTTCCTTCCTACTTGGCCCACTCTCTTTTCTTCTTACCTTCCTTTTCCTCATCCGAGTTCATGAGGAGCTTCTCCTCCATCCCTTTGGAGATCTCATCTTCCTCGGATCTTTCTGCGCTCCTGCAATCTTCGCTCTTCCTTTCTAGTCTTCTTTCTTTTTCTTCTCTTTCCCTATCCCTTCTCTCCACCGACTTGTCCTCATCTATCTTCACACCTATTCTGTTCTCCGCTCTCCTCCTTGCCTCCAACACACGCTATTTCTCCTTCTCATCCCCCAGCCTCACTAATATCGTTAACCAGGCCCCTCTCTGGCCAATTACTCTCACCTCTCTTATCTCCACCTTCACCTTCAAACCTTCTGTGAGTAGTTTCTTTACCTTTTCCCAATTTCATTCCTTCCCTTTTCATTTCTCCTTCTCGTTTCTTGCTCATTCTTTCTTTTCTCCCCTGCCCATCATTTCTTCTTCCCTGCCCTTTCTTCACTCTTATCCCTCTTCCTTTTCCCTCCGCTTTGCTCCATTCTTTCCACCTTTCTTCTCAGTCTCTTCATCTCCTCCTGCAGCTCTTCTATCTTCTCATCTTTCCTTTTACCATTTTCTTTCACCTCCCTCAGCATCTTCTTTACTTTTTCTTCCACAATCTCTTCCACCGCTTCTATTATTCTATTCCCCTTGCACTCCATCCTGGATTATCTGTAACATGTACATATACTTTACATTATTCTCCTTTTCTTTTCTCTACTTTTCTCTCCCTCTCTTCTCTTTTTTCCTCCTCCTCTTTCTCTCTTTTACCCTTCCCCTACTTCTTATTTCTTACCCTCCCCTTTTCCTTCCATTTTCCCCCTCTATTTCCATCATCCATTCTTCGCCTTCACCTTCTTCATCTAGCACCCACCCTACCGCTTCCTGCCAACTTCCACTTCCTACTTTCCATCTTCTGCATTCTTCCCATACATGCTCCCACGTTTCCTTCTTATATTCACACATCCTACATTTCTTCTTTTCTTCTCCCTCCCAATACCTGCTCTCTCTCAACTCATTCCCTAATCTAAATCTCGCCACTTTTCTCCATCTGCTCTCACCGTCTCTTCTCCTGCGCCATGAACTCCTTTCTCAGTTCCTCTATTTCTTCTATCAACTTACTTCCCTGCTCCTTGAAGCCCTTCCTAAATTACTTGCTCATGGACCTGAAGTTCTTTCTCATCTCACCACGTACTCCCTCACGTCTCTCACACCTAACTCTGTTTCTGTTTTTGGAGATCTCGCCGATTATCTTGCTTCTCTTAACAATATCCTCCTTCTCCTCCACACTCTTATCTAACTCCTCTCTCTTCCTTTTCCATAGCTCTTCTATCGTTACCGTGCTCCCCGTGCTTCTCGTGCTACCCCTTCTAACTCTATCCTTCTCCTTCACTCTATCTATCACCTTCTTTCTCTCCATCTCTCTTTCCTTCTCTTTGTTCATCTCCTTCTACTCTACGTTTCGCTTCGCCCTCTACCTATTCTCTGTTCTATGCCCTGCCTCGGTCTGCCTACCGCTTCCCTATTTACCCACCGAGTCGCCCCTCTACTCACTAGCGTTTGCGCCCTACCACGAACCGTCCGCCTACAGAGTCGCTCCTCTACACCGTCTCTCGCTCTCGCCCTACCCAGCGCTACCGTACGCGTCTCTGCTCACCTAACGCGTCGCCCCTCTATCCCAGCTATTATTCGTGCCGTAACCTTTGTCCAAGCCCTGTCACCTTTTCTCCCTATACACCCCTCTCACGCCCCTCTCACCACTCTCCCCTTGCTCCTCCACACTCATTCACCTTTGCTCCTCCCTTCTCGCACGCTCTCGCTTTCCACAAACTCCTCTGGTACTTCTTTTTCTTCGCTTTCCACTCGCACACTCTCACACGCTGTCACCTCGATCGTACCGGAAAAGCTTTTTTATGTTTAATATTTCTGGCTAAAAATTTTTCTAGCAAAAAAAAAGGGTTAAATTCACCCTGGGTGTTCTTGAAGGGTTAAGGGGATGCTGGAGACAGGTCTGTTTTACCACGAAATTTTCAGACACACAAATCTTTTGATTGATTTCACCGAATTAAAAATTTTTTGTCCAGAATTAAAGTATGGACGATAACGAAGACGGCAGGCACCAATTGCGTATGAAAAACGAAAAAAAATTAGAAAATTACATTTTTATTTTTGATTCTGCGGTCGACTCATGACAACATTTGCTGCAGATAAAAGTTTTAGACTGTGTACGTATACAAAAACCTTGCAGCCGTCACGGAAATACAATAAAGAAGAATCCTGTGCTTGCAGAAATGAGCTGCGAGCTTTAGTATAAGAGAAAAGTATGTTAGAAAATTTCATATGCACATGTTACGCGTCTCCCCGATTTCAGCCAAAAACTCTGCGCTCAGTATGTATGTGTAAGAATCGGTGAGCACTTCTTTATCGACGCTGGTCGAGTTTGCCTGCGCTCTGTATGTATATGTAAGAATCGGTGAGCACTTCTTTATCGACGCTGATCGAGTTCGACCGCGACTCCAGCATCCCCTTAAGGTGCCTACTGATGGACGCGGCAAATGCCGCGCGCGGCAGCGCGGCAGTTCAGAAGGAACTAGCTTCTAGGGGCTTCTGATGCTGATGTCGCTTGCCGCGTCTGCCGCGTGAAATACCTCGGCAGGCGCGGTATAACCTGTATAACCTCAATTCCTTAGTACCTCAGTCGCAGTTATCAGAGTTGTCAGTTATCACGTTATCAGTTTAATCAGTAAATAATGTCTGCGAAAATGAAAATTCATGAGTGGTTGCAGTGCATTCATATAATTAACGAACAAAATGCAGAAGCAGACCGACGTGACAAGCTGCTCGGATCATTAGCTTTGTTATTAGCTAGAAAAAAGAAACGGATTAACAAAAAGAAGCGTTTCTGGGTTGCGCCAATTTAAAAAAAACGCTGTGAGTATGGTTTTTACCATGCCTTACTGCCAACACTAAAATTGGAAGATCTGTCGTTCCATAATTATTTTCGGATGTCAACCACGCAATTGGAAGAGTTGTTAGCCATTGTAGGCCCACATATGGAGAAACAATACGTCGTGCGAGAACCGATAGGTGCAGCAGAACGATTGACATTGACATTACGGTAAACATCTCTTGTTTTTACTTTAATTATATCAATGTGAATGTTGCATTACATCAATTATTATGTTTCAGATTTCTGGCAGCTGGTGACTCCATGTCTTCAATGATGTATTAATATTTGATAGGTTTGACGACTGTAAGCAATATTATTGCTACAACGTGCAAGACTATTTGGGAACACCTGTGTCCTTTGGTCCTTCCACCTCGACTATTCGAAGATGACTGGCGGAGGATCGCAGAAGATTTTGAAGATATATGGGACTTTCCGCATTGCATTGGGGCAATCGATGGAAAGCACGTAATCATTCAAGTAAGTTACACTTTTATAACGATTCTTTTGAGGCATTATTCAAATATCGAAAACTATCGGGAAATAAATAGAAAAAAACAATATGAGCGAACTCTAATTTTCTTGCAGTATTTAAAAAACGTGAAATAATCTTTGTGTAATTTCAGTGTCCGGACAATGCTGGCTCCAATTTCTATAACTACAAACACAGTCACAGCATTGTGCTATTAGCTATTTGTGATGCCAATTACGTTTTCCGGTTCGTCGATATTGGTGCATATGGCAGACGAAGTGATGGAGGCATTTTTCGTGAAAGCCGAATGGGTCAACAACTTGATGCAGGGAAAATGAATGTGTACTTTCTGCAATAAAAAAAATATCAATATCATCTGGTTTGTCATTCGAAAGTTCGGTTCCAAGTCATAAATATTTATAAGAATTGAAATAGATAATTTGTTTGCACATGTTACGGTATGTTTGTTTTCCAAAACGTAAAAAAAAATACTTAACCTCCAATCTTAATGATTATAAACAATCATATATATATATATTACTTTTATGATTGCTATCTTAACATTTTTTTATTAAAATCATTATACAAACATAAATATACACTAACCTTTGGAATCTCCACTCCGGCCATCGTTAAATTTCGCTCACTTGTGCGATGCCGCCGATGCCGCAAATGAAGTTGGATTGATCTAACTTCAATGCGGCAACGTAGGAGTAGTTCAGAAGCCCCTAGATTCTAGTTCCTTCTGAACTGCCGCGCTGCCGCGCGCGGCATTTGCCGCGTCCATCAGTAGGCACCTTTAAGGATGTATTGGAGGTACAATCTTAGATAAAAGTGCATGAAATTTGAAATACTTGAATATCTACGCCTAACGTATATTAAATCTAGATGTAAGATACTTAAATGATAGTAGGAATCTTATTTATACTCCTAGAAAGGTATTTTTTACTTTACAAATGTTTTTTCCAGTATTATTTGCGATTTTTGTAATTTATGAGCCTAAACTTTTGGCAGTGAAAATACCCTGATTTCAACTTTATAACGTCAAATTATTTTAAAGCGAAAGACATTATTCAGCAGTGCTGATAAACAAATGTGCCTTTAATAACGTCAAAAAAGATAAATATGTATCATATAAACGATAATTTTGAATATTATTTATTATAAACATTGTTATGCGACTCTTAAAAGAGACGTGACAACGATTCACGTAGGTTGGCAGCCTTGCACAGTACCAAAACAGTGCGAGACTTGATGCGAGCTGCGAGGTGCGAGGTTATGTCTGTTCGTTTACATTTTTACAATAATCCCGCTATGTTTCTCATTTCCCTTTTCTATCTCTTCACGAGTGCAACGGAGACAAAAAGTTAGCTAGAAGTAGTAGAAGGCATAGATAATACGTGTAGCGACAGCCATAGGTTATGCTTCGCTTGCCCAGCTGCGTGCGACGTTGCCGCGCTTTCACGAGCCATCGAGATACATTCGTGCCGACAGCACACGTATCTCAAGTTATACGTTATTTCTTTAAAACGGCGTAGTGAAGACACGTGAAACTTGGCAGATATTTTCATCTCGTCGTATACTAGATGTACAAAAAAATTCAAAATATTATTAGCGCTTCTTCAACATTTTTTTAGCTGTTTTATCCGTCAAAATCGTTTCTTCCCATAAGAATACTTGTAAAATCAGTGAAACGTAAAATCGTTATATCTCAGCAACTGTTTAGTGGCGTCGTTTCTACTTTTTTGTAGCACATCAGGAAGACTAAAAGAACATTCTCACAAATTTTTATCCACTTGGTAGCGTTTTGAAAATAGGTCCGATACATCTTTAAATCTCAAAGGCATTTTTAACATAGGTTTTATGGGAACGTGTACCGAAAACATACATTTTTCGAGAATTTTACTCATTGTAAAGAAACAAGTTCAAAAAACTGAAACGAATATTTGTTTGCGTCTTCTAGCACTTGTTTAATAAGACAAAACGATGTTGACGCGTAATAAGTCCAAAAATTCAATCAAAACTTGATGACGTGTCGTGTTTTTTGGCGGCCTTTCGATCAGCTGTACGCAATGGCAACGCCGCCGCACAGTGGGGCCAAATCCCAAAAAGCTAGCCAAAAGTCGAAAGCGTTTTTCACGTTGGGTGAAACTCAGTACCCGAAAGTTTTTAAGCTCGCTGCGTACGACGTTGGAGTCAAACGTTGAAAAATCAAAATGGACGGTTTTAAATATAGACGACTTGTATAGAAAAAATGATTTATTTAGGCTAAGACGTTAAATTCTGTCCTTTTCAATACGCATTACGTAAAACTCGATTTCTAAATAACACGAGAAAAATAAAATATTAAGAATGCTGTCAAAATTCTAATCTCTGAATATAAAGTTCGTATAAAAAAACTTTTTTTAATGTTAAGTTATTTATCAACAATACAGATCAACATTAACGTTATTATTAAATATATGTAGTTGCTCATGAAGGAAGAAAGTGAAATAAAAAGTGAGAACTGCAAAATAAATATATATTTAATATATAAAACAAGATTAGTCGGCCTGACTGGCAGTACGTTATTAGTATAACGACATTTTAACCTTTTCTTTGGGTCCTTATCAAGTTAATTTAACACGGCTGGAACAACATAACGTACCGATACGCAACACATGCTACAAGAATGCAACGTAATAAACCGTGATACAAAATATAATAAATATTAAACTTACATAGATCCGTGTGCGTCAAACGTATAGAAATATTTGAGTCATAGTTAAAACGTGTGTGAACGGGCGGTGAATAAATATATATTTATTAAAATACAGTCAATCAACAACTTTATGCATCGTCATCAGTAGAATAATTTGATTCACAGTCAGTTGATTCAACTGTAAGATAGCTGGAGCTTTCCTCACCCTCTCTAATACTTGGCGCACGTAATAATAAGGCTGTTTCTGGTAGTAACGATTTTAATTTTTTTCGAGGTACGTCGCGCAAACTAGAAATAAATGGATCGGATGTTAATAGTACGTTTCTCGCAAAATCTTCTCTAAACTTTTTAATATACTTGTTACTAGACTCTTGAGCGTTTTCGGACATTTGCTTTGTTGGTAATAGTGAAGACGTTATTTGTGCGCCATGACGTAAAATTTTATGCACTGAAGTTGGCATGTAAAACCACAGATACAACTGTACAAAGTTGCGAGCTGTTTGTAAAGCATAATCTTGCACGTGCTTGCAATATAACATGAAACCATTTAATCAAATCTTCATCTACCCCCGTAAGCAAAAGTGCGATATGCTGTAGTCACCGTATCATTTAACGTTCCTTTCAATACAAAAAAATTTTCCTTGATAAACTTGCAATTACACATTCAACCTTAGTTACTATTATTTATTCTAAAATATATATTTTTTAAATTATTTATGAAAGTAAATTGCGCATCTTAAAACTCAACACAATAAAGACCACAAGAAAAAAAAAACATTAATTTAAATTTTTGTCCGCATTGTCAGCACGCAGTCAAAAGTTGGGAAATATGTAAAATAAAAATATAAATAAAACTTTCGCGCCGTATTTACTGCGCTGGTTCTTACGTAGCTCGGTTTATTCATGCGGATTTTCCATTGGAACCTATACTTTGCATTTAAAATTTTTATTTTTAAAATATTCTCTACAGTGACAATAAAAAATTGTTAATCTTTATTTTTTATGGATTTTACGTCTACGCTCTAAATTAGAAATATTTTAGCAGGTACCTACGTTTTCGCTAAACTCCTTTCTAAAGGCCCAAAATTTTGGGCCTTTTGGAAGGGGTTTAGCAAAAATTGACTTGATACAAAATATTTCTATCTTGAGCCGTAGAATCAAAATCCGCAATAAAAAATGGGGATTAATATAAGAAAAAATTGACTTGGTCCTGACTGAGCCCATATAAGGTTCCAGGCCCACACGGTGAGTACACTCTTGAATAGATATTTCAAAACCATACACAACTTTTATCAAAAACACTTTCAATATTTTGCGTTTTTAATGCGTTTTTAATGCGTACAAAATTCAGAAAATTATTTTTTTTACAAAAACTTGCACCAATAGCAGGGTAGCAGCTAGTAGCAGCAGTTTTCTGTTGTTTTCATTAAATAATATTTCTACAACATACAATAGGTCTGGCCACAAAACTCTACAAAACTCATAAACTTTTCTCTACGTTTTTTAACGTTTTCGTTGCACGTTTACGTTCATTTTTGTACAAATAATTTGTTTATTGATATTACATAAATTCGTACTATAAATTTTGTAATACGTGATAATATTCTACTTACTTCCAGCTGTCGAATCCATTTTTTAGATTTGGACGTGCTTTATTTTTATAGTTTTGGCGTCCTCCTGAATAAAACGTTTAGAACTCGGCTCCGAACACGACACGTCTTGTTCGAGCGAGCGTCACTTTTGAACTGAAGTGTACGAGCAGGTATAAGGGATAGGACGCTCTTTAGTCTAGACGTTGACCTTCGGACTATTACTCAAACAAACCCATCACTTTAAATCCTCGGACGCGAAACTTTATTTTTCGACTTTTGGCCAGCTTTTTGGGATTTGATCCCACTGTGCGCCGCGTCGCGTAGTGTTTTTTTTCCACTTCTATCGAACGTGCTTATCTTCCATTATTTTTCAACGTAAACACAATACATATATATGAATTTATTGTATATCCCCTCAGAGTTTACAAGGCGTTTTTGTGAGGAACTTACCAAATCTTTTACAAAAAACAGATCTCTTACAACTACTCTTATTCTACCTTAACCACTAATCTTTACTAACTAATCACCCTACCTATCTACACACACACACACACACACACAC